GCTCAGTCAACGCTCCGCCCAAAGCGCCTCCAAAGGCGAAGGCAAAATCAGTGCACGATGCCCGCACAGCTCACGCTGCTGCCCACGGACCCTCAAATGGGGCAGGTACACTTACCACAATGGTGAGTGGTGGGCATGCGGAAGCGATGGCCGTTGGTGGACCTATAGTGGCTAAATTCATGACTGCAGTGCAGCATGGCGCAAAGCGTTGCTAGTGCCTCCAATGAGAGTGCCGCGCTGGCAGCAATGCTAAGCCCATCTGCAGTAGCTGCTAATTCACGCGTCGCCAGTGAAAGCAAAGGGGGGTGTTGAAATCCGCCCACACCGCTTGCGGTGCAGGGCGTGTTAGGGGCGGGTCAAGCTGGAATCATCGTCAGTCAATCATCACATCGTAATCAGTTCATAGCTCTGCGGGGGGGCCTCTTTCTTTTGTTTCGGGGAAAAACGTCTTACGCCTCGAGGGCCATGGGGGAGAGCGTTTTGGAGGTACATTTATGGACTATTTCTGCAAGAGCCCAAACAAGCCAAAAACTGACACCCACGATGCTGAAAAGCCCTCCTGACCAGCAAGCATTATTGGATGTACATTTTTGGACTAATTCTGCAAGAACCCAAACAAGCCAAAAAAACGGACACCCACGATGCTGAAAACCTTCCTGACCAGCAACGCATAACCAGCATTATTGCAAACACGTAGCCTCAACACAGGGTCACCAAACGATCAAGCTAGCCTTGACATGATGTAATGTGGACTAACCAAGCGGGGGCAAGGCCACAAAACGGTCGAACTTGGAGCCTGAATTGGCTTTAACATGGCCACCCAACGAGCGAACTTGTGCGTAACTCAGCGACGCTGCGGCAAACAAGCCATCTCTTTGGACACCACTCCCGACCTCCCCTGTCCACTCCAGCAGTCTTTCCCCAGGCGACCGAAAAAAAAGAAGGTGTGGGCGGCGGTCGACGCGAAGCGTCAGGAATATATCACCTTATAATGCTAGGCCTTTTACGTGTGGTGCCGATTTGCAGCGTTGCAGCTCACGGTGAAAAAGGACCGCGCTGTAGTTGCTAGCTTAGCGGATTTGACCTAATTTTACTGGCTGAGCCTGAAAATACCGTTTCCTATGTTTCCTATTGTTGAAAATTGCGCCGTTTTTCTTTAGTTGAAAGTTGTGCCTTTTTTCTTTATGTTTGATTGTGAATAGAATGCAATTACTCAGGATTGATCCAAGTGAACCACGATCAGACCAAAACCTTGAGAAAACCAAAAAACAGAAAAACAAAGCAGAGATTTGGCAACTAGTCCAGAGATCAGACTAGTTGTGGAAGCATCTTGTTTGGTTTTCACAAGAATTCAGATTAAATAGTACTTCCAGAGAATCGGGGTAGCATATATATATATATATGTATTGCCATATTGCGTGTATCCTGTTCCCTGTAACAGTGGATGACCGCGGCCGCGGTTCGTAAAGGCCTTGTTCTGAAAATTGTTTACTGACTGTTACAGGTCATAGGAGACCCAAAAAAACATAGGTATATATTATATATATATAGAGATTGGGTCTTCCCACAGAACCGACAGTTTTGCGAAGGATTTGAGACACCATTTTTGTGTAAAAAGATGGTCTTCGAAGGCGAACGAGATCATCTTGTGTGCGCGTACTTTTTCAGCACGGAGACCTTGTCAAGAGCACCCCCCCAAAGGCCGCAGTACAAATCCATAGAACTCCACTCAAAATTCCACAAGTGGTGGGCTACGGGGTGATAAATGTGGGGTGTCAGAATGGTGTCAGGAGTCTAGCCATTTCTTCACGAAAAAGTCTTAAAAAAGGATGTGGAATCCATCTGGGAAAAAACAAGACTTGGGATAGGTCAAGTACTGGTAGATCAGGTAGGAAAAAGGTATAAAGGCTACTAAAGTGCAAACATCTTTGTACTCAACCAATCCTGGGTTTACCAAATGTCTGATAGCATCGTCATTTTGTCCATCGGATGAGTGCAAACATGTTGAGCTGACAGCCGGAGCCATGTGTTGGTCTTAAGAGGGGACCTTAGCAGGCATACTAGCAGTCTCCTATTAAAATACACACCCATTTGGCAGCAAGGTCACAGTGCTGGATAGCTCAGGTAGAAATGGCTGAAAAAACACACATAACACGACCTCGGATGCATGGAAAGCTGTCAAAATCGACTCCAGGAGTGGACGACCCATTCCCTCGAGGAGTGGAAGGGGCGAGTATGGGGAACATCGATGATTACCCCGTCTTAGAGAACCAAACAAGGACCTTTTATGGGAGTAGAGCTGTGGCTTGAACCCTTCCTTTTTTTTAAGCACAATAACTTCGAACAAAAGTGACCATCCAAGACATCCCAAGACCAAGGATCTTGTAGGAGCCAGCCTGCCAACATCACCTCAACCAGTCCACTGTCCAGCTGTGTGGGGGTGGGTCCATTTGTCCTATTTGGTCATGTCTGCTGCCTCCAAACCTCGGACCCCTGAGCGTTTCTTCTTGCCCAGCCCTGCCGTGTGTGATTTGCGTGGCAGGCGCGGTACTTGGTGCTCGCCGCAGAGCGCCCCCCTTCCCGGAAATCTTCCAGTTGGCAGAATATAGGCATTTCTCGGCAGGGCATGTCTCGTCTTGCCCGGGCCCGGGACACGCTCGGATCTGATGGGAAAAAAATGAACGCTTTGTCTCCCAAGTCCTAACATTTTAGAAACTGACCTTCTTTGGCAAACCAAGCTTGAACAGTAACGCTGGATCTTAAATAGTGCACTCCGTCCCCATTTGAATTGTAAGACCTCTTCCTGTAGGGGGCTTTATTCATCAAGAGTCTACATTAAACGGAACACCCAGGACCCAAGTGTTCAAAGCAATCCTCTATATATAAGCATATTTTTGTTGCGTGGTCTTCCCCGCCCGACCTTGGATTTGATTCGGAAGCCGGGAAAGACTAACACATACTCCCCAGGTTGTGGGGGATGAAAACCCAGAGATGGAAAGATGTTGAAACGTAAAGAATCACCCGAGTCCGCCGAGTCCTCCCAGGTCTTTCCTGTGACCAACCGGATTCCTGGGCGACCGTGCTCTCGGCATCGAAGAACCGACCATCGATTCAGAGTGTTATCTTCAGAGTGGTTCAAGGGTGGTTTCCGCCATGTGGCACCAGAGCTGGTGCGTGCACCGGAGTGGTACAAACCCTTTTTGTAAGAATGTCTTCTTGACCCAAACCCCTAGGAGGATGGGTGTCGAAGGCTAAAACATTCCGAAGCTTGGCTATCTTTGACATGCCAAAAATAGAAGGTGTGGTGGGCATCACCGGTGTGCGACTTTCCCAAAAAATACCACTACATGGTACAACATCTCCATCCTTCGTTCTGAACTCAAATAGATCACCGATCACCTGTTTGCAACAAGGAACACTCAGCAGAAGCGCCACCGGCAGAGATCTCTTCTTGCCAAGACCGCTTCGTCTTCTTAGAGCCATCGGAAGCATGGCCCCGCGCCACGCTCCGCTGGTTCAAGCGGCAGGGCGGAGCAGGCGGAAAACGGCGGACAACGGGTGCCCCGTGGAAAAGCGCGGCCTTTCAAGGTCGGAAAACTGGGAGATGACGCCCAGGCGAAGGCTTGGCTCTTTCAGGTTGTTTGCTTCGTACTCGGGAGAACACTCGGCCAGAAGGATGGAGTTTGGTGTTCAAAGAAAAGCAGCATCGGTTTTTCCTGAAGGGGTGGGGGGGTGGTGTTGCGACTGGTCACTCTGCTGGACTCTGGACGATTTCTTTGGCAGTCTTTGGCATAGAGTACAGTCATTGCGGGTTACCAGAACATCCATATCCAATTGTCTTATTATATAGCCATATATAGCCTAAGTATAGAGAAATAAGGCAATGGATCCCAAGTAAAAACATTCCTATAGGCTATAGGTGATGCAATTTCAGGAATGCAAGTTACTTTGTCGGTGCCAAATAATATGGTCAAACTATGTCAAACTGGACTTCCAAGGCTACACATCGCATAGCATAATAACTGACATAACATTACATACCTGAAGCAATACGATAACATCATATGATGACAATAGCCCTACTTCGGGCATCGAGAAATACCAGGGCGCACTAATCAGGACTGCACTCATTTTGATCAGTCATAGGGCAAGGACAAGGCTTAATTGGTGTTCATGTTTGCTCAGAAGAACCTATCTTAACAAAGTGCCTGTAGTTATGTATGGACATGGAGCTGTGATGTAACTGACCTGCTCTCCATCTTTCTGCTCTTGGAACATCCATGGACTCAAGCCAAACACAGCTGCGTGGACGCTTAATATAAAAACAAAAAAACATCGCGTTCGACCGGCTTGGGAGTCTTCTTTGCCTTTGGGAATCCAATTGAAATTGGTGTCTTTCACCATCCTTGGTCTCAAAAATGGGTGAACACTTCCTTGACTGGACAGCCTGGGAGGCACCAAGGAGACACCAGGGAGGCAGGAAGGGACCATTTGGACAGCCTGGGATGCACCAGGGACTTGAGACCTCACAACCTCCTGAAACTCGAGGCCCCCACCCACTTGCTATGTCATGAAACTTCCCGTTCCCAACCCCCCTCAGCCATGTCATGGAACTCCCCAGCGCCACTAGGACAAACCATCTTGGGTTTTTGCTTGGGACCAGGCTTCCCATCTAGAAACTGTCTGGGAAACAGGGAAAAGATTTGGGGGCACCTCTTTCGAAAACAAGGCCAAAAGGCATTCAAATTCACTGGAAAGGACAGAGTGGCCAGTCATGAGTTTTCGCCCTGTTGACATAGACTCCCGAGACTTCCCCAGACTTCCCCCTGCAATCTGCATGTTGAAGAGTACACAGGGACCCCCTCCCAGCTCGGAAAACCCCTCTGATCAAGCGGTTTGCTTCACCTGGCCACCAGCTACCAGCTGACCCGCCCCTGGCTTACCACGCGGGCGCGTAACACTACGCGTAACACTACGCGTGGCGCGGAAACCGGCGGCGCCTGGTTCCTCGTCTTCGTCCAACATCAGGCTGTTGCTGGACAAGAAGGAGCGGCCTTAACCGTTGCGGGACGAAGTACCAGCTGTCTCGACCCTCCGTTTCGCTACGTAGAACCGTGGGCGGAACCTGCGAAACAGGACACATCGGGCCCCTCCCGGGGTCCCTTTCGACCTGCAGTTTTTCAAGGACTTCATGCTCTTGGAGCTGACAATCAAACGAAACAAAACACCGCAGTTGATGGTTTCGACTCCAAACTTTGGCAGGGTTTTCCAAACAAAGAGAATTCCTGTTCCAATGTCATGGGGTGCCGGTGCAGGACTTCTCGGCCAATTCTTCAGCCGGAGTCTTCGCCTCAACTGTTGAACCAATTCTTCAAGTCTCAGAACTCAACGAGAGACTTCAGCAAAGCGAAAACCAACAACCTTCGCGAAACGTTCCGCAAGGGGAAGCACTTTGCAGGGAAAATCAAGCGTAGAAACCCGTCCGGCAAGCCAGTCCCAACCAGAAGCGGCTTTTGTTGCGAGGGCAATCTGTTCGATAGCTCAATATGCTCAATCCTTTACATGATAGGAAGTGACTGTTGTTTGGGGAGTTCGATCCAGATTTGGTTTCTGTTTGGAACTGAAGTTTCCAGGCTGAGAACTTCCTGAAGAACAGCCCCTACATGACGTCGAGATGCTGCGCAGGAGTAGGTCCATCTTGCTACCTGCCGCTTGCGCAAGCGGCGAGCAAATCTGTGCGAGCCAGACTAGTCGTAAGCCAATCATCATAGCCCATGCCCAACTGCTGGGTTGTCTTGCATTGCATTGCTCTGGAACTCAAAAAAAGGAACATGGCCAAGAGCAGGCAGGGGTTGAATCAAGAAAGCTACGAGTCTGGAGGTATATATAAACAAATATAAAGCTGTCCCAGCAAGAGACGCCAAACAAGGTCTAGAGGTCGACCAGGTCTAAAGGCGTTTTTCAGCAGCAGAAGGTCTAGTGATCTAGACGTATTGGGTTCCAGAGAGATCCAACGAGGTTCTTGTCGGAGTCCGACCAGGTCGTTCTTCAGATCCAACGTGATTCCGGTCCGACCAGGTCGAGAGACATCGTCTCGAGGTTTGCGGAGACATCCAGATCTTGAGGTCACAGATCTAGAGTTAGAGATCTGGTTTTGAGGCCTAGACACCTTCAGGTCTCAAGGTCACCCAGGTCTTGAGATCTCCATGGGTCGATAGAAAAAAAAGAGGTTCAGAGATCCGGAGGTCTAGGGGTGAGGTCTAGTTGCAAGTAAAGGTGTGAGGTTTCTAGGTTGAGTAGAGGGTGCAAAGGTCTTGACCCAAAAGCTCTAGGTCTAGAGGCTTTCTAGAGGTCTCAAGGTGAAGAGGTCTTGAGTTTGAGAAGTCTTGCAAGTCTTAAGATCCAAAAAAAACTAGACGCCACAGAGGTCGGATGCAAAGGTCTAGAGATGTCTAGAGGTCTTGAGATCCAGGAGGGTCTAGAAGTCTGTTGTTGTGGTGGTCTAGAAAGATTTACAGGCCAAGGTCGAGGTCGGTGTAGAGCTGGAGCTCTGGTGTAGAAGTCTTAGATCCCAAGAAGTCTTGAAATTGAGAGGTGTAGACGGTGTAGAGGTCATGAGATCCAGAGATAAGGCCTGAAACCTAGAGGTCTCAACGTCCATGCCACCTGTTCCCCACTCCCCACTCAGTTCGTTCGGTTATGCATGGACAAACAAGGTTGTTTCTTCTGCCTGGGGGAATTTACCGGAGCGGCAACCGTGCATGTTCTTGTGAGATGCGGTTGCGCAGGTATCATGTCAAGGTCCCTGAACTATGACTTCTACTCGGATACCCCATCCATCCACCCACCTAAATCCCCACCTTTGGAGCGTTGATAGCTCTTCCCCAGCGCCGTCTTCGACGGTGTCCTTCGGACGCCCGAGGAAGAGGTGCCGTCCTCCTGCTCGCCTGGCGCGCAGGGTAGAGCACGCACGCGCTTTTCGGCGCAGCCCGCGTGATTACACTTTCTCTGGTGGTTTGCTTGTTGACACACCAGTCAAGTGGGGGGATGGGATGGAGTCCTCTGCTTTCTCTGCTTACACTTATCCATTTTTTGTTGGGGGGGGATGGGATGTAGAGAGAGAAAACACCAGTCCGCCTCGCCGGCAGCAGGATCGAACAAAGGCTCATGCGACCGGGTCGAACAATGTCGAACATGCTGGATAAAGAGAAAGATCGACAGTGTTTGGACGGAGGAGGGAACTGCGTGTGTTTCCTCCCAAGTGTGTTCCATATGGATGTTCGTGGTCATTTTCCCATGTAATTACTCTATGTAACATAAATATATTATGATCCCCAAGGTAGATCCAAATCAAACAACGATCATGATACAACTCCTGTCTTACAGCATTGGACATTCAAGCCTATCTTTTAGGGGGGGCACCATTGTTTAGAATCAGAAACAGCTGTTGGCATTTGGGTTTGATACAGAATAAATGATACAAACAAATGTCTTCACAAATAACAGAAAAGCGGCCGCTGTGATTTGCGGGGCTTCCGCCGTTCAACTGGTCGAACTACAGGTCCGGCTACCCGGCCTTTCCAAGAACTAAAACGGTTTGTTGCTGGCTGAGAGAAACACGCGAGACATTCGTTGGAGATGTTCGACTTTCTGCGGGCTCCGACAGTTTTTGAACTTCGGCAGCCGGTGTTCCTACATGTTCCTACGATCTTAGAACAGAGAGTGGAACATACCCAAGAGAGGTTAAGTGACCTGAACTAGGACCCGTCACCTGGGGTACCTATGGGATAGTCTATAGGGTTCTTATGGGTTCTTCAACCTCTGTCGGTACCCAAGACCCCTTCTCCGAGGCGGTGTTCTACCCCCCCCCAACCGGCTCTCGTCTGCTCTCGTCTTGGTCGGTCACTCCGTCTAAGCGGAGACCGCTGGAGCCGGTTGAGGAACTGCGGGAGTTTCAATCCAGTTCGCCAGTGCAAACGGCGCTGTTTTCAGGATAATTCGGTCTCCGTTGAAGAATTCTCCAAAGTTGGAACCGCAAAAGAGTAGGTGAAAGATGGAAACACCTTCCCTGAACCTTCCTGAACCCCAGGTGGCCTTCCTACAGGTCACCAACCACCGCATCGACCTTTCCCGCCAATATACATCACTCTCCCGAAGGCCTTGTGGGCGTTGCTCCTCCCGGCGGCGCCTCATGGTCTCCTCGTCCTGTTTTTGAAACGGGTCTGAGGAGGGCGGCAAAGTAGCACTTTCATCATGGGATATCATGGGGGATCGCAATCAGATATCTCCATGCAATTTCAATGCATGTTGTATGACTTTGTGAAACATATCCCCTGAGGCATGTGGTGTTTGATCAGAAGCATTCAGTTTCACGAGTGCAGCATCGCCGGAACCAAAACTATTCAGGCTGGAAATGACCTGCGACATGTCTTCACCACCTTTGGACCATCAGCAGCAGACGACTTTTACCTAGATCTTCCGACTGTGCAAACATTCTGCCCAACTTGGCTGGTTTACATGAAAAGGCCATTGATTCTGTACAATTGGAAGATCCAGGTCTGCATCTACCCCTGCTGACGATGCAAAAAGAAGGATTAATATGGATTAATCAGATCCATCTGGCAGCACCTGAACGAACGGAATCCATTTCTCCCAACAACTCCACCGATCGACATCGAACGCTCATCGGAATGGCCACGTTGGCATGACTCCCTGAAATCGTCCATGGTTCGGTGGATGGCACGTTGGCCCCAAGTCCGGACGACAACGCCAAAGCATTCCTCCTTCACAATCGGCTGGTCTTCGTGCTTGAACACCTCCCTTTACGCTCCCTGAAATCAGCCGTGACGTGAATGGATGACCATTTGGCTCTACAAACAGGTCCGTGTTCACTCCACTTAACCCATGATTTACGGGAGGCGAAGCGGCTAGGGCGCTTCGACACGCGAGGTCCCGGAGCTCCATGAGATGAAACCACATCGGTGTTCAAGCGAAGCAGTGTTGAAGCAATCTGCTGTGCGAAAACCTGGAAAAGGGTGCCTTCAATGTACTTCGAGAAGAAGAAAACACTTTTGGTCAGTGATTTTTGGTGCTGCTCCACCCACCCTACAGCTCCCTACAGCTCAAGAACCTCAGAACCTCATTTGGGCTGGATTTGGTGATGCAGCGCCACTGTACTCCCTATAGGACTCCATATTTCGGGTGTCCATCGCAGGAAAAACCTGACCAACCCCTCCGCCGAGTGGACGACCCTTCCTCCGACCCTGTCAGCTCCTCCGAGGTCACCTCCGAATTCACCGCGCTCGAGGGCCTCCGAGCGCGGTAGGGCGCGCCCGGCGGTAGAGGGATCCTCCTTGCTGTTTCCATACTCCGGAAAACCACAGTACAACAAACAAGCAACAGAGAAAAGAGCGGGGCGGTGAGGTTCCGACTCATCTGCTGCACACCTGCCACTCTCCAAGACTTCGCCGAGCGTCGCTGTGCCGATGACAGAGTTTCGAGCGGAGCTTCGATGCGACGCGCGACTTTGGAAGGACCAAAGCTGACGGCGTGTAGTTCAGTTTTTGGGATCCCGAAGCAGAAAAAAAACGCGCCTGCGTTCGGGATCCAACAGCTCATCCACTTGTACCTCGGTGTGCAGAAGGGCGTCTTCATGGGGGTGCAGAACAAGAGCAGCGGTGAAAGAACACCTAAGAAAGCGATAGAAGCCAGGAAAATAAGTAGTCAAATCGTCATAGAGTCATAGAGATAGCATAGAGTCATAGAGATAGACGACAGGAAAGGCAACACATGAAGGAACATGGAGGATGTGTTTTTTCTCATAAGGACACACCTTTCTTTGTTCTGTCCTGTTCTGTCTTCTGTCCTAATTGAACGCATTGAACGCATGGAGTACCGTGAAGCGCCACCGTCCAAGTAGACGCGCCTCCGGCTCCTCCGGCTCCGCCGGCTCCTCCGGCACCGGCATCACCACGGCCTCTTGGGACCTTGGAGCGAAGGACCGAATGTAGCTGAGGCATTCCAAGAGGGGTAGCCAGTGACCGTAAATAGGACCCGGAAAACCTGGGGTACCCAACTGGGATAGTCTATAGGGTCCTTCAACCTTTGAGGCATTCACCCAGCTCAGATTGAGGAACAGGAACAACCTGAACATGTTCCTGTGCCCTTATTTTTTTGCCCTTGGAAGTTGATCGATTCGGAGACCAGATGAGACCAGGTCCTCAACTCAAGGTCCAGGCTTAGGACCTCGAGCACCTCGTGATGGATCTCCCAAACAAGGAATTTCTGCCTCGTGATGGATCCTACGGGTCCTTGCAATCTCTACACATTTACATCATCTTACATCCCCACAAAACCGAAACATGTTGAAAAACGTTGAAACAAACATACCAGGACCCTCCGACAGGTCACCAATTGAGACCTGTTAGGGTCCAACAACCCTCAACTAACAGCCTGTTGGAGGGTGCTGGTATAGGTTTCTGGTTGAGACTGGCTTTCCAGGGAGTCCCCACGCCCCGTCACTTCGACCGCCGCCGTTGGAAAATGGGTGGTTGAGGTATGTTGAGGCACACTCAGCACACTCAGCACCCGTAGAAGTGGATGGCTATGCGCCAATGGGAGTCTTCCATGTTCCTCAGGTCGACCTCTGGGAAGATAAAAACGAACGAAATCCATTGGTTGGGAGGTCCTCCTCTTCAAATACACACCCAGCTTGCATGTGATGTGTTCGTCAAAGAGTGGTTGAGGATGCCCGAACTAAGCTGAGGCCAGGCCCCTCAGGGCCTATGTTGGAGCAGAACGGGAGGTCCTGTTTCCAGCTGGCGGAAGCTTCAAAAGCCTTGAGGGAGTCATGAGATTCCCTTGAGTGGGAGAATGAGTCCTTGAAGCTCTTGCTTGAGAAAGCTGAAGAGAAAAACACGACGATGATGATATAAGCAAAATGACGAGATCCCCCTCCCTTCAGGCCGTCCATTCTGCGGATCTGAACCCCCAAAATCCTCTCACCACAGCCCACCATAGCCCACCCTGCTCAGCCCGTATGACTACTGAGTTTCATCATGTCGCTCCGTCTGACCGTCCTCCCAACCGAATTCCCTGCCGACGCGGCGCAGCTCCGGTAGCACCTCTGCCGCGGAGGAAAGCGCCGCGGCCTCCGCCGCCTCCGCCTCCGCGGCCGCAACGGACGCGTCCTGCCGGGCGCGCGCGACGCGTGGAAGCGCTATAGTGAGTGGAAGGGGAGAAAAGCCCCCGGCAGGAAGGGAGCGATGAAGTTTTTTGTTCACTCCAAAGTCTTCATGGTGGTTTCAATCATTAAGACATATGAAGGAACATGTTGAGTAACAAACCACTGGAAGAGGATGTCCGCAGAAGTTAAAAAACAACAGAACTCAATCCATCCCAGGCTGGTGAACTGTCATGGGAGTGGCCAAGAATGGCCAAGATCTCCTGCTTTGCTCAGTGGATTTGGGCAGAACGTGGAACACCTTCGGTGGAACACCTTCGGTGGAACACCTTCGGTCGAACACGGGTTTGCCACCTTCGATGAATCCTGAATCCAGAATCCGCCAATGGCCAAGTCTTAAAACTCGGCACCTTTTCCTTGTTCTCCTTGGGTGTGCAAGTTCCACACCGCTCACATACATACGTCACACGCCTGGCTTCCCTCATGCGGTCCACCTCTCCCCATGCTGTCCGTCCGGCCTGGCTGAGCGGTTCCTTTCGTTCGACCGCGTCGCTGTCGCGCCGCCTGGGCAGAGATCCAGGCGGCGCACCCATGAGGAATCTCAGCAGGACAAAGTTTTTGAGGCACCGAGGGGGTGTCTATATCGAAAGAAATGTAGACTCTTGATTCATAAACCCTCCATATAAAAAGGCTTTCCAATTCAAACGAGAGGGCTTATGAATCAAGAGTCTATACCAGATGGTTACCATGGATCTGACCGGTCGGTGACCATCTTCCTGTTCATCCCCAAACCAGCCAAGTGAGGCAGAAATCTGGCATAGACAGGTCAAATCCAGGTATTTGTGTGCATCAAAATAGGGAGACCTACCAGGCAACGACCCCCTGGAAGAAGTGAAAATAGACCAGTCTACCCGGCCCACGGCGTATTGATCCCGAAATGATCCCGAACAATCATTGTTTAGTCCAAGGATTCTAGATTACAACATCAGGTTAACGACTCTCCATGCAATAACCATGAGTTTGGAACATTGCCCGTTGGATGGGCTTTTCTTCTAACAGGCAACAGGAGGTGGTCCATGGGACTTGCCTCGGCCACACGAAACGTCCTCTTCTTCGCAGGATGATGGTCAGTATAGGGACCTCTAGGAACCTGTACCCCCGCCAAAAATGACCCTGAATACCAGGTTCTTCAAAAGCCCAATGATCACAATGATCACCACAAGGATAAAGCCCAAGGATATTTGCTAACAGAGTGGGTTTCGAGGGTGGCCATAAACTTATTGAAGGTACGAGATATTTACTTGACAATGAACAGTTTGTGGCCTACCCATCAGCTGGGTTCGGCACACCGCTTGGTCGTACTGCACTCTCTAGAGCAATGAGTCAATGTTGACCAACCCCGATCAGGAAAAGGGTGCAGAACACACTTGTGATCCACAGAACACACTTGCTCAAGAGTCTTAACAGAAAGCCCGCTCTCTTAAAGCATGTGGTTCTGGAAAAAAAAAGAGAACCGTTGGAACCTCCTAGTGTTGTTTGCCATTGTTCAGATGCAAAAATAAAGTGTCCCCTTCTGACCCTGGTCGAAAAGTTCACTGCAGAACACTATTATTGTAGGTTTTTCAAGCCAACTCCTAGTACTTCTCACTTCTCACCAGAAGTACTCCAAAACCATCCCCTAGCCTTCAAAGGTTATATCTTCAAAGACCATTGAAGAATGGTGGTAAATGACCTTCTTGATGGCTGGAAGGGCATCCAACCCACCCCTAAACCCTCAATTCCACCACCGCGTCACCCCAGCCTGACCGCCGGAACCGGCTCAAAGCCAACCATCCGTGGGCTTCCCTCCGACGGCTTCGAGTGTGCGGACTGTGAGGAGAAAGGAGGTCCAGTTTGCATTTGCCTAGGTTGTTGAACACGCGATGCCTAGCCATGATTCGGAATGAAACTTCCACTTAAAAAGAAGAACACCAAAACTGATCGATCAAAAGAACTTGTGACTTGTGACTTGTGTGTGGTTCATCTGGTTCTTTTTCTCCCACGAGGCCCCAAAAGGCCCCTAAAAGGAGAGCGATTGACTTGCCGCAAACTCTCGACCACCTGCGTGCTGCACTTGGAATTCCACGCCATGCCGTTGAGTGAGGTGATGCGCCACATGACATATGAAATCTTCGTGTCAGAAGCGAGAAATGAAAGCAACAACTGCAAGAAAGCTATCTGGAAGTTTCAATGTGCTTCACACAAGACACACGCATCGAGAACCCTCCATTCCCTCTCTTTGCTAATCCTAACTGTACCAAAAAACCTTCGCATGCCGCGCGTCTGTGCCGCACCTTCTCTCTCCGCTTTTGGCTGGAGATCGGTTTGGAGCCGCGCATGCGTCTGGAGCTGCCTGAGGCTCTTTAGCTCAGGACGGCTCTTTAGCCAGGACAAAGAATTCTGGGACCTCCTAGTCTTCCTGGACCTTCAAAGGGGTGTTCAGTGCCCTTTACCCGGTGTTTGGGTGTTCAGTGCCCAGTCTTCCATTCGAAACCCCTTTTCTGCAAAGAGTACACTGCTTGCCACTAGTCTTGACCGCCTTGGACCGCTCGTTCTTGCTTGTGCTCCTGTGCTCATGGTGCCTTCTTCAAGCCTCCGCGCCCGCGCCCTGCGCATCGTCGCGGTGGGACGTGCCTTTACTGCCAGCGCCATCTGCCTGGAGAGCGATCATCGCCACCATGGGCTGCTCCTTCCTGGTGCCGAAGCGAGAAAAACAAGAGGGCGCACAGTGCTGCACAGAAGCACCACAATCGTATACACAATACATTACAAACTACAATATGTGTGTATAATATACCCATCCACGTCAGAAAGGGTCAGTTTTGCGAGGCCCTGCTGCAAATGACCTTAGCTTTACGAGGTCGCATCAATTTTGACCTTCAAAAACTTCAAGGTCGGGAAATCATACAAATATACTGATGTCGGTCACATGGTAGTACACTCATAAGCTTAACTGTATTGCTTCGTCTTTTTCCCTTTCGCAACGCCATGCTTTGTTCGTTGACGTGATCGCCTTGTCGACGGTTTTTCGCTACGCAAGAGTCACGCCGACTGAGTCACGCTCCGTTCCAACAGTTCTTCACGGACAAAGCCTATTGTCGAAGACGTCAAACACTTCATGGTTTAGGTGGTCACGCGTTTCACGCTAGAGCCACGCCACAGTCACGGCCCAGGTTCAGGCACTAGCAAATTTGGTGGCTCCTCCAAGGGCATCAAAATATGAGTGAAAACCTGCTTTCACTGAGTAACGGAGGTCTTTTACTTAATAGGACATCGTTTACGGAGTAAAGTCCGTCTATCTATCATGTCCACAGAATGTTTGGAGGTCACATGTGGCTATGCTCTTGGCAGAGAATTGGGCCCAGCAAATGATATTATGTTTCTGTTTCTAAACCAAAAACAACTAAAAGTATGTCAAACAATGTCAAACCATGTTCTTTTAACCCACTAAGTCATACCAGACTTGGACCAAACAAAAAGAAGGAGCCCTCCATCCATGCTCTCCATGCTCCCTCTGCTCCGAGCTTCGATCCAGAGATCCCACTGCCGACGCGAAGCCAAGCGCCGCCGCCGGCTCCGGCGGCACCGCCCGGGCGAAGGGCGTCGACGGCAGGTTCCTGGCGCGAGATGGTGCGGTGCTGTCAGAGCTGAGATGGTGTACACACAGCTGTCAGGTGGAGGAGGTGGAGGGTGGGGGATGCGTCTAAGATGTTTCAAGCCCCCCACCCCTGACGAAATTGAGACTGGTCAGAAGGGTCCAGTGTATCTCCTGGAGAAGAATGGATCGGTCAACATGACATGAATATGAAGGCATGAATATCATGGCATAAAACATCATACATGCTGAGTGGAGTTTTTGTGCAGTGAGTGCAGTGAGTGGAGTGAGTGGAGAGGCCAGGTCATCTTGGATCTGCTTAAAGGAACCGGGACAAACAGACACAAGCTCGCCCCGGTTCCGGGTGAGAAAAACCCACAAGAAAAACAACAAAAACACCGCAAGGTCCCAACATCGTGAAGAGGTGGGTTCGGCCTTCCAAGTGTTGGAACCAAGCGTGTTCGGGTCATCTGAGTGAAGAGAAGACCCGAACATCTGTGGCGCTGTCTGTTCTCGGTTCGCCGAGTCAGCGCGTTCGGTCATCTGTTCGCTTGACAAGAGAAAGTCGGGTTCAGTCTTTGCAGTTCTTTGCAGTTGTTGCATCCTTACGAGAATCCTCCATCTGCAATTGGATGAACCATGACTTGGTGACTTTGAGGGGGAGATTCCTTATATGACCAACGACTCACGACCCAAAAATAATCCGATAGGAGTCAGGAGGTTGTACTCCAAGGCACTATGACACTATGACTTGCTTTGTGTGCAAACAACCTCCAAGTCACTTCTGGCGCCAAAGGGCGACTCCTGTGCCGGTTGTCCCGTGCCAACTCTCGCAAATGCTGCACAAACTGCACAAGAACATATGGCACCGGGCGCATGGCACCTGGGCACCCCGGGCGTTGGAAGTGGGGAGGTTTGGACTCACAGCCACAAAAGCATGCATGCTGCAAACCTTCCTGGAAGGCCTTCCAAATACCCAGAAACCAAGCTCGGACCAGTCTCTCTCCACGCTTTTCCCGTGCGCCTGGACCGTCAAGAGCGTCTCCTGAGCATGTTTGGCATTTCCCCGAAAACGATATACTTCCTGGGTTAGAAGAAAAACCTGGGAAAACATCGATTCTTCGGTTTACTTCTTAGGCTTGCTTTCTACTTCAAGAGACCGAGCGGAAGGATTCACCACCATCAGGTTCCTGCAAACCTTCTCCTCGACCCATAAGGTTCCGAACATCCCAGAGTTTTGATGCTTCAGGTTCCCTCCTCTGATGCTTCAGGTCTCAAACCTCTTCGTGGCTCTACAGCTTCTCAGTCTCAAACACCCCATAAAGGGGGCTGGAAGGTTCCGATCTGGCAGTTCCAGCCCCTGAACCCAAACCCCCCCTGGCAGTTCCACCGAGAAAGTTCTTCTTTCTCTGTCTTCTTTCAGTGAGGGAACACACTGACCTGAGGATGATTTGAGGATGACCTACCCAAAAGAAACCAGGCTTTGAACAGCCCTTTCTCCATCCCTTTTCGCCTATCCAACGGGATTGAACACCAGCAGCCACTCCGCCACGACGCGTCGTGGCGGTCACGGCCTGGGCCGAATGGATCCAGTCGTCCACCCAGGTGGGGCTTCGCAGCCGCTCCTGGGAGGGCACCGAAAAAGGCGGAGGGCCATTGGCGAACAGGTAGGAGGTGAATCTAAGACGTCTATAGCAGCTTTATAGCCTTGGGGTACCTAAACTTGGCTTTGCTGTCGAAGCGGGAAGAAACAACAGGGACTCTCCAGGAGGAAGCTTCCTTCAATTCGCAAGTGTCCGACTATCACCCAATCGGTCAAAGCAAGCGTAAGCCCTACAGGTCCTCTGACCCAGTAAAACCTGGTCCTGCAAACCTCATTTGAGATAGTGTTTTTGGTATGACCGGCTGCTGTGAGATGTGGTCCAATCGACCTGTAGAGTACAAAATTTCTCCATTTATGCTTCGGATCTGCTCCATCGACCACCTCGGCTGAGATGGCATGCCCATCCCAGGATGCCTGCGAGTTCTTCAAGGAACCCAGAAAAAAGAAACACATATAGTGATTTTTCCCCAAATAGATAGTGGCACCGTCCAATTGATGTTTGATGGGGATCTATACTTTTCTATCTATTTGGTGGATTTGGGGGGTCTATATAACGAACATCACAGCAGGATGCACCGGATGCAAAAATGTGGCAGGGAGGCAGCACACTACCATGCAGATCACTACCACATGATCGCCAGGGAGGCAGCACCATCATGCAGATTTCCCCTCGGAACGTTTTGGGGACGGTTTCAGGGACAACCCACGTCCACCACCAAGCTAGGCCCGCTTGGTAAGTTGTGGTAGCTTTGTGATGCTTTGTCTGTCAACTGATGGGTGAACATCTTCACCAAGCGCCCGAGTCCATCTGGTCTCACAGTGCAGGACTTCCTCCTTGTCATACATGGCATTGACATTCACGTCCAAGCACTGCACAAACGCTTGAGCTGCCGTAGTTTGCAAGAAACACACAATGACCTGAAGTCGATCACGATTTCCAGTCTACATGCCTCTTCATGTCAGTTTTCAATTACTGGCATTTGGGGGGGCCAATATTATTATCCCATCTATTTCTGTTCGCTTCGCCAACCATCCACGCCGCTTCTACACCTTTCCATGTTCGCGTCCTCCTCAGCCTCCTCAGCCTCCGCATCATCCTCCTTGAGGGTGTTCCGGCCCACTGCCACCTGGTGAACGCCGGCGACGCCCATTGGTGGGCGAATTTGGTTAAGACCTGAAGACCTGCGTCGATGCCTTCACACGGCCGTCGGGTTTTGGGGGGGGGCCCTCGGCTTTTTCGGGCAGGTTTGGGCGTGCGCCGGGAGGGGAGGAAGTTCCCGAAGTACCCAAGGAGGCATGTGGACGTGGAGAAAAGCACAGATTGGACTTGAGCCCTCCTACTGCTTGGCTAACCTCTGCATGCGCCGACGAAAACACTGGTCTGCTTTGTAGGTCTGATACAGCGGAGGCACTGGCTTCAACCATCTTGCCACGCAAAAAGCCGGGTCGTTCTCTAAGCTGCCGCAAGGAAATTCCTCGTTCGATCCCGAAACTTTCACTCCCTACCAGCAGCGACCGCAACGACCCCAACTTTCTTTGTTCGCTTTACCCTAGTTGTACTCCTTGCCTGTAGCACCGTCCCTGCAAAAGCCCTTTTGGACCCTTAGACCATCTAAAAACAAACCATGAAAAAAACGCCAACCCCACCGTCTCTTTCCGTCTCTTCTCCCCCAACGGGCTCTTCCCCCCCCCGGTCCGCACCAGCGAGTCCAACTCGGCGGCATCCAACGAGGAGCGCCTTCGTGCTCGGACGTCCTGAGGACCGCGGCACCCGCCGGAGGGTTCCGCTTTCGGCCCTCTAAACGGAAGGGATTCCCCGCGTTCGGCGTGTTCGGCGTGTCGCGTTTTGGGGTCGGGGGCGACGGTTGCGCAAAGTGGTTGCTCTGCGAGCCGGGCATGACAGAAGATGGCTGGAAGGCTCAGCGACAGTGGGGGGATTGGATGGAGGTTGCCCAGAGTTGGGTAAGAATGGCCTCGGACCCGCTTTGAGAAGCACCCCGCTTTGTCCGTCTCTCGGAGGAGTTGCCAGGTGTACAACCAGTCTCACCTGCATTTCCATTGCAAGGGTTTTGTATTGAAATAATTGTAAGACCTCCCAAAAGGGATTCTTGCACGACCAAGAATAATCGATAGTTCTTATGCGTTCTTAATGTTCTTATCGTTGTTTTGGTTCTTGTTCTGAACGTCTTGGTTCTGGCTTTTCGTCTTGTCTGTGACCCATGTATTTATACCTGGAAACCCAAACAACCAGAAACCGTTCTGGATCTTTCCCCAGTCCCAAGCCATTTTCTGTGTAGATCTCGGTGATCCCAGGAAATCACCAGATCTGTGGTCCGGGTCAAAGGGGGGGAACCCCCCAGACCTGGGGGTTAAAGGCGTGAACCTCCGTGCGAAGAACGCGAAGGCCATCGCCACCTGTGCCACCTGTGGCGCTCTTGCAGCCCCGGTGGCTGGCAGTACAGGTGCCTCGCGGTGTTCACGAAGATCGCCTGGCGCACATCGCGGACGGTTTGGCTGAAGTGAGGCGGTGGCAAGAGTCGGTGTAACGACAAATGGCTTTAACAGCTCGGGTGGAGGCACGAATTTACCTATAGCTAGGCAAGTCCCTGAACATCTCTTCGTTTGCCCAACGGTAAACCAACGAAACACAGGTGCGGTCACAAACCAAAAGGCCGGAGAAATTCGACCAGTCAAGGATCATCCAGGATCACATGTCATGCCTTGGTTCACGGTCCAACATCATCCAACATCATCGAACCAGTGTAATTACTATGTCATGTCAACATGTTGGATTATGCTGGCCCTCTCAGAATCCAAAAATATGGACTCTGTGACTTCGGTTTCATCAGCCAAGAAAAAAAGAAAACGTTCACCATCCATGTCTCAACTGCATGTCCTGCGGTCCTTTCCTCTACCCTCCTCACTCAAATGGATTCCATCCGACCAACCACTCCCCAGCGGCCAGTGGTTTTTTGTATCAAACGTTGATCAGGGATTGCCCACATCATCCACCGCTCATGCCTACAACAAATATGATTTATTGGTGCTGAAGTCAGAACAATCGAGACTCGATGCCGCCTCAGACTACTCATCGGTCACCTTGGATGTTCCATGATGTTCCTCGCATGGGGACTTACCTCACCAAGTCTGAGTCAAGAGGGTGCTGGTGTCTGCAAGGATTGCAAGCATTCTTTGCAAGAAGTCTCAGACACGTCTTTGACAGTCATCGTTAGCTCGTCAACACATCCTGGGGCTGCCTGGCAACGACCGCGCCATCTTCCTTTTCTGACAGCAAGCAGAGTTTTTCAGCCAACGTGATTTCAGCGTGGGAGTTGTCCAAAACGGGAGCCTCCCTCGTTGTTGCCATGGTGTTAGTCTGAAAGTTGTTTAAACAGCTCTGTTCGGCACTGTTAAAAATATCTTCCAAAACTCCCCTGATCGGCGATCCGCAGTTCAGGGACTTTCCTGAACACTCAGGCCGTGCCAAAGGACTTCCAGGGTGTCAACGTGTTTCAAGTATATGGCGTTGATGAACCGCCCTCGATTCATGCACGCACAGCTTCCAAAGGCTGTTAGGCGCCGTTGCTTCCAGTCTTGCAAAGTCAAGCAATTTGCTGTTGATCGTGTCAGTAGTTTCGGGCGGGAGTCTAGCAGGGATGTCCACGCACCCTGGTGTTGCAGCTTTTGATATTGACGTCCAAAGCTGACTGGTGCCACTCAGGGAATCAGGGAATGAGACCCCAATTGCACGGAATGGCTCCTTTCCCCCAATCGCTATAGCAAAAGGAGTGGACACCGGAAGTTGCCACGTTCTGAATCATGAAAAGGGTTGGTTGGTGGTTTCAACTGACTTGAAGAAGTACAGTGTGAGTCGTCCAAGCAAAGGTTGCAAACAACAATCTCTGAAACCACCACCCAGTGATATCCCCCTGACTTCAGCGATTGGCCTCTAACTCAGTCATTCCACAAATACAACTATAAAATAGGTCGTAAAGGAAAACAAAAAACAATAACATTTAAAAAAAACCTGTTTCACATCAGGTAAAAAGATGGCGGGGGGGCGACCCGGTGATGTGAGTGATGTGATGTCGTTTTGTTTTTTTTCCACGTCCGAACAACCCGCGAATCGACCCGCCCATCGATGTGATGAATCAGCACGCCCCATCGGTTGGAGGTTTTCCGCCGTAGAGCGATTAGCCTCAGCATTGGCAGCTCCAATAGGAAGAACCGACACGCGGCGTTCCGACACCCTGGAAGAAAGGAAATAGACCAAAAGCGTCCAAAACACATTCATGGGTTGACACACCCATGTCTCGCCATCAAAGCGTCATGTCAGTTGTTTTCTTCTTCTTCTTCTCCTCCTCCTTCTTCTTCTTCTATCTTGAAACCTCCGTAACAGCGGAGAAACTGTACATCTACATCTGGAACTGCAAGCAGATGTACTGACCCAACATCTTCTCAACCCAGCCCGAACCTCTCCCATGACCCTGAAGAACCCTCAAGAACCCACCGGCCACTGGGCCTGGCTCGGAGGAGTCCTGGCGCCGCCTCAGCCAAGCCAAGCCAAGCCAAGCCGGAAGCCCAAAAACCTGGTGGGTGGGGGTTCTTATGAGGTTCTATTTGTAAACGGTTGACCATCCATGTCTGGGTGGCGGGTTGGTTGATCAACATTCGCACCACGAATGAAAACCACCATGCCTCGCCTCGTCACGTTGACATCACGAAGACATGGAAATTCTCCTCTTTCTTCGCCGGTCGACATCTTGGGGTCGGCCTTTCGTCAGGTTCTTTTTTCCAAGATCTTCCCAACGGTGCGAAGAAAGAGGAAGTTTATCTTCAGTTGGTAAGATCTTCCCGGATTTGCTTCAGTTCCTACCAGCGGCTCATTTTCTTTGGGAGTCCAATTCAGGTCTGGAACAAAGTTTCTCCACACTCGGCATGGATGGAACCAGAAGCTTGCAGTTGGCATGAACTCTTGGAACGCAGCTGAATGCACACCCCAAACAGAAGCATCGGTGGAAACAGAAGACGTCAAGGGTCTGAAGACCTTCATGGGCCGTGGACCCCCCTGTGCATCTGGAAGTCCCCGCAATGACTTAAAGGACACATCACAATTGGCAGGATGAAAACCACCCTCTTCACCTAGCAATGAAATTAACGGAATTACTTGTATGGACTTCCACTTGCAACTGGGGCTTTTGTAATTAGCATCTGGGGCTTTGATTCGTGGCCCGCCAAACGGCAGCCATTGGTGGCTCAGCCCTGGGTTGGCGCCATGGGGGTATGGCGCTTTTGTTCTTCTGATGAAGAAGATGAAGAGGAGAGAATGTTGAAGTTTGAAAATGAAAGCACGTTACAACTATGGGAGGAAAAGACGTTGTCCTTGACGGTTGAGCAGCTTGAGTACATCTATTGTGGATCCAAGATCCATGATGCTGCTGGTTGCTAGTCAAACAGTGTGTGTTCTAATTTTCACAGCCCAAGATGTTGCTATCAAAAAGAACTGGCTGAGGCTTGGAGTCGTTCTTCAAGAACTGGACCGGGGAGTTCACTTATGCTTCTGACTGCCACTTGGCAGGAATGAAAATGATTTCATCCTATGGCATCCTTTGGGAAGTCCTGTGATTTTTGGCACTGCACTGAGGTTCTGGAATGGATACCCCGCTGACAACCTTGTCACTTCTATTTCCACCGGCCAAGAAAAGGTTGGTGGTTTACATGCTTCTTAGCTCCAAATATCATTGGTTAACAATACACGCCAAATGATCGCTTCCTTTTTCATTCGTGAGCAAAGAAACGCGCTCAGGTCCAACAGCGAGAGGAATGCCACTGCCAGACAGTATTTGGAGCTGAACCACCCAGCACCCAAGTATGGGTTACTTTGTTTGCATCATGCTTTTCACAAAACATGGAATCCCTCGCAGTTTGCTTTCAAGTTTGTTAAACTTACAATGTGTGATGGTCGTGATGGCTAAGATCATATGATGATATCTTCAAGACAAATCTCAACAAGCTCCACAAGAAGGCATGCACTGGCAGTGCCATTCAGTATGCACATGACATTTGATGTTGACAGCCGTGTGGAAAACCTTGGATGTGGAGGTCTTCTTGTACTCTGCCGGATTCCCTTGCAAAGCTTTTTCGGCTTTGCATGCAAACACGCGTCTTCTTTTGGAAGAGGAGGCCAAACCCATGTATCGTGTGCTCCAAAACACGGTTGCTTGTGCACCGCCAGTTGCTTGGCTTTGAGTGCGAGGGAAAGGGACGACTTTACAACTTCAAGTGTGTGAGTGCTAGGTTGCCCTCTATGAGAATGTGAAGGGCTTCAAGCGGGTGCAGGAAGAGTTCGAACAACTTTGCCATGAAAAGTTACCAGAGTAATTTGGAATGAGGAAACCGCTACAAACCGTGTACAATCCTTTTCCCCTATTGATTTTGGTCCCCAGTCGGCCAAGGTATCGTATGGCTTTGCTGGACTTGAACGGGCGCCTTGGTGATATGGGTTGGAAAGTGCGTAATTAAGAGTTGACAAACATGCAATCATGTTTACATCAAAGGACAGATTATGGTCAGCCGCTCAACCGCCATCGGGTGTACATCCTGTTGGTGAGGGAGGAGCTCATGGTGCGTGCAGCCCGAAAAGACTTTCCCAAGTTCTGCAATGAGATTTGCGACTTGTTGAAGCACGACCCCGATGTGGCTTGGTGCCTTTGTCCTACATTTCTTTCGAATCCAATGAGAAACAGCAACTGTTAAACAAAAACACTTGGAGAGTTCTTGGTAAGTCCCTGTAGCTAAGGCAAGAGCTGCTTTTGGAAAAGGGTCACCCTTTGGTGCAGGATGTCATGGCCAAGCGAAACAGGAGGAGAAAGCGGAGGTTTTTTACCAAGCCCCTTAGCTGTTAAAAGATGGTCCACCATTATTCTGAACTGAATGGGAATATGAAACATGATGATTTTGTTTCGATTAAGGAGGCCACCGGGCTATGGCTGCAAATGGAAGAAGCATCACAAGATTTGGGCGAGAAAGAACAACATCAAGGCCCATGTCGAAGTTCCCCCAATCAGTTTTCATTCCCCCAACCATGTGTGTCAGGTGAAATCATCAAAGGGCTGCTTTGCAAAGAAACATCCAAAGGGTGTTGATCAAATCACTACCCAGAGAGAAATGCAGGCTGGCTTAGTTTGATCTGTGGCTTCGAGCTATTTGACATACTGCCTGCAAAACTGCCATGTAAGGCCTTGGACCTGCTGCTGGCCAAGCATGGCAAGTTGGCTGCTGTCAACACGAGCCAGGCAATCCACAGGATGGGCTTGATCATGAAGGACCAACCATTGCCTTGCTTAACGCCCCGTTCTAAGTCATTTCTCATACGCCATGAGCGCAATTCATGATTTCACAGGAAACATCAACCTGCCTCTGATTTCCAACTATCAAGGCCCAATGGATCATATTTCATTGGACACCAGAGCCGCTTTCTGACCGGTAGCTCCACTGAAATTATGTTTGAACTAACTTATAATCATTATTACTTGGCGGTTCTTCATGTTGTCCCATCTTGCAGATCTCAAACGGCCCTCGCTATCAACCCACAGCGCCACTCAGGTATCGAAGCCATGATCCTGCATGGAATGCCAGTGGATGCTCTCCATACCAGCAACTTCACAGACCGCGAGTTTTAGTCGCACATCAAAAGCCACGCCTGAGGTTCCCCCAAAACTTCACGTGTTTTTGAAACTGGATCCAAGGAATTGTTTGGAATGGCTGGCAATGGAATGGCCATGCGTTGTGTGATGATCGCAGTAGCCGTGGCCCTTAGGAGTGTGAGCCCAAGTCTAGTAAAGAAGTATTTGAAGGCATAGGGGGTTCTGATGGGTACCATATCACTGTGAGAGCGGAAAATTGGGAGATGTGCCCACTTGCCGGATGAGCAGGTTCTTTGAGTCAGTCAATTTCTAGAACGATGCATTTCCATCATGCCCTGGTTCAATATTGAACGTGTTTTTCACTGCTGAACCGCGTTGAAATCAAACCAGCCCTGAACAGCCCTGGGTTGGAGAGAGGGCTGCAATGCCAGTCCTGCACCGGTACGAAGCCAGTGACGATGAGCTCCAGCCTGCAACACGGGCTGGAGATGTGTGGCGTTATGATGAAACCTCGAGCGATGAGAGACTTAGCCAGGTCTGTTGGTTGTAGGTGTCTTGTCTTGATCCTGATACTTCATGTTCATGACTCCCTCATACTCCGTCCCTTTTGATCCTAGGAATGCAGAATCGGAATCCTCTGATGATTCCGACGATGAGGATACACGTGCCCCTGCAAAGAGCGTGGACCTGACCCTAACTGCATTGAACTCTTTGCACACCCTGAATGAGAGCCCTGATCAATCAACATTTGCCACACATGGGGTTGACCGAGACAGACTCTCCTCTTTGTCCAAACACCCGCCTTGCGAATGCAAGTGCCGAGTTCCACTGGTGGTATTGCAAAAGACCTGTCAGAGCTTCTGGAGGTTACCGAAGCAAAGTCAGGACGCTTTGCTTTGGTCATTGCAAGTTCAGGAAGGATCTTCTAGGAGGACTTGGAGCATTGAAGGACCCCATGTACAGTATGTCAATCAACATGCGCTGTTTGGAATGTCATTGAGCTCATAGGTTGATCTGTTGTTGTTTGGTCAAGCATATGCCCCAGGATACAAAGTCTGCAGATTGGCGTGGTTGCGTTATTTAGGAATAGGAAAACAACGCCTTGGGCGATGCAAGAGGGCCTTTCATGGCATTGATGATCGTACCATCAACCAAGGCTTTGCGGCAGCAGTTACCATGTTAAGATTTGGGTTTCATTCAACATGAGATGCAAGACCTAGGTCAACTACCCTGGTCCTAAACTCGTCCTTTATGGATTTTATGGAACCAACTTGTTTGAGACCTAGGTCAAACAACCCGTTCTGCAACGCAGTCTGCATCAGCGAGTACATTCTTTGGGCACCTTTACTACACAGCTGCAGAGTCCATGCCTACCAAGTAACTTGCTTTATGGTGCGTGTGTGATTCACATCTTAGCAGTAATCTTAAGCTTCGCAAAACACATCTCAGGTTTGTGTCTTCTTCGGATGCAGCGTTCTCTCGAGAAGATGAGGATTTGAAAGAGGACCTCCTAAAAAAGCTGATCCACCGAAAATTGACGGGGCCCACTTTAGAGATTATGGACATGGACCCCGCCAAGCTGCCCCTGAGAGAGCTGCCTCCAGGAAACACTGCATCCCTGTTCCTAATGTACTTGGCATGGTGCAAGGTATCATCCATGCATCAGCCATGCTGCAAAAGCACGTTCTACACGACTGCCAAGTCTTGGTATACATGCTTACGCTTCCGGAGACGGTCAGAGCATGCTATGTGTGCAACATGCCAACGCCTGAAAGCCGCAATCCATGCTTCACCGGATTGGGTCTTAGTTTGGGTGTGTAAGAACGGTGATCACACATGGGTCTGGTTACACAACATGTTGGCTAAATAGTCTGAGGATTTTCATCAGCACGCATCTCTATG